AAACAAAAACATATTATATTCTTGCAACAGTTAAAGAACTATTATACTATTCTATAAAACTAAAATAAATAAATATAAACAAAAGTACGTTGCGCTCGTATTTCGCATCGGGTCGCCTCACATCTCGCATCGTGCACGCCGAAACGGTATGTTTGTGCGATATGCGACGATGCGGATGCGAGTAACGAAGTAACGAAATTTAAAATGCAGTAACGAATTCGTATTTCGTATCTGATCGACTACCCGTTACTGAGTAACGAATACATACGGTTTGCCACAACTCTAATTTTCATATATGTACAATATTTTAACAATATTATTCTATTCTAGACTATGGAAGCAAAATTTGCAAATGCAGAAAAAAATATTGGCTACATCGGTTAATGCACCTGTATGGCACAGAAAAACTGCAGAAATAGTTTGATCATAGCCGCTAATGTTTTGGAAAATGTAGATTAATGTGGTGAATCTGATTTTGATTAGTTTGAGTCTTGTACTTATATATTTTAATATTATTAATTTATGCTTTATATACTTCTAATTATTGAATTTTTTTATTAGGAATTTATTGTATTTTGCAAAGCAATAGCCTTACTGTTTATAACCTATACTTATATATACTTCCATAAATAGTTTATATTTTATTGTTTTATTTTCCTCAAAAAAAAAAATCATGAAGTAATACTAATACACCCTATAAAACATTATTCGCCTTCATAGCGGATAAATCTATAATACCTATATAAAATAATGTAAGAGAGTCAAACAGATTGCATACATTTCATCCAGTGTTGCCAGTCTAGTACAATTGTACTAGATCTAGTACATTCTCTGAGAATCTGGTACTCTAGTACACTCGAAACAAAATCTAGTACTTTTTCAGCGTAGGTATGTTTCCATTTGAAGTGTAAAATATATTGGTCAAAAATTGCAAGAGAAATCAAAATAGTTGTTAAAAATTACTTCAGAGATAAAATAGTAGACATTTCTCGAGAGATAAAACATTGTTTAAAAATTGCACGAGATCAAATATTGTTCAAAAATGGCTTGAGAGGTAAAAAATTGGCCGAAGTATAAAATAGTATTAGAAATTGCTTGAAGGGTAAAGTATTGTTCAAAAATTTCTCTAGGGATAAAAATACTATTAGAAATTTAATGAGAGATGAAAATATTTAATAATTTTTTGAGAGATTAAATAGTATTATAAATTGTTAAAATCGTGTTCAAAAATTGCTCGAGGTAAAATAGTATTACAAAATGTTAAACCCTTGTTGAAAACTTTGTTGAGAAATAAAATATTGTTCAAAATTGACTTAAGAGATACCTATTATTAGAAATTTCTCGAGAGATAAAACATTGTTTAAAAATTCCTCGAACGATAAAATACTATTAGAACATGCTCAAGAGATAAAATATTGTACACATTGCTCGAGATAAAAAACAATGTTAAAAATTTATCGAGAGTTAAAATATTTTTATAAATTTGTCTAGAGTTAAAATATTGTGCAGTTTGCTAAAGAGATAAAAAAGTTGTTAAAAATTGCTCGAGAGATAGAATAATGTTATAAATTTATCGAAAGATAAAATATTGTTTAAATATAGCTCAAGAGATAAAAAAAGGTTTAAAAACTATTTGAGAGATAAAATAGTTCGAGAGATAAAATAGTATTATAAGTTATTAAAATCTTATTCAAAAATTACTCGAGAATTAAAAAATACTGTTAAACATTTCTCGAAAGATAAAACATTGTTTAAAAATTGTTAAAAAGATAAAAAATGTTAATAAAAATTGCTCGAGAGATAAAATAGTGTTCAAAACTAGCTTGCTCTAGTGATTAGTGTTAAAAATTGTACAAACATTGCTCGAGGGATAAAAAAAGTTGGTAAAAATTGCTCGAGAGATAGAATACTGTTAGAAATTTATTGAGAGATAAAATATTGTTTAAAAATAGCTCAAGAGATAAAAAAAGATTTAAAAACTGTTCAAGAGATAAAATAATATCAAAAGGTATTAAAATCTTTTTCAAAAATTGTTCGAGAGATAGAATAGTGTTAGAAATTGTTAAAATGTTGCTCAAAAATTGCACGAGACATCAAATATTGTTCAAAAATGGATTGAAAGGTAAAAAAAAGGCTTTTAAAAATTGTTCAAGTGATTAAATAGTGTTAAAAATTGTACAAACATTGCACGAGGGAAAAAAAAGTTATTAAAAATTGCTCGAGAGATAAAATACTATTAGAAATTTATTGAAAGATAAAATATTGTTTAAAAAGAGCTCAAGAGATAAAAAAAGATTTAAAAACTGTTCGAGAGATAAAATAATATCAAAAGGTATTAAAATCTTTTTCAAAAATTGCTCTAGAGATAAAACAGTGTTAGAAATTGTTAAAATGTTGCTCAAAAATTGCACGAGACATCAAATATTGTTCAAAAATAGCTTGAAAGGTAAAACTGGCTTTAAAAATTGTTCAAGTGATTAAATAGTGTTAAAAATTGTACAAACATTGCACGAGGGAAAAAAAAGTTATTAAAAATTGCTCGAGAGATAAAATACTATTAGAAATTTATTGAGAGATAAAATATTGTTTAAAAAGAGCTCAAGAGATAAAAAAAGATTTAAAAACTGTTCGAGAGATAAAATAATATCAAAAGGTATTAAAATCTTTTTCAAAAATTGCTCTAGAGATAAAACAGTGTTAGAAATTGTTAAAATGTTGCTCAAAAATTGCACGAGACATCAAATATTGTTCAAAAATAGCTTGAAAGGTAAAACTGGCTTTAAAAATTGCTCAAGTGATTAAATAGTGTTAAAAATTGTACAAACATTGCTCGAGATAAAAAAAAGTTGTTAAAAATTGCTCGAGAGATAGAATACTGTTAGAAATTTATTGAGAAATAAAATATTGTTTAAAAATAGCCCAAGAGATAAAAAAAGATTTAAAAACTGTTCGAGAGATAAAATAATATCAAAAGGTATTAAAATCTTTTTTAAAAATTGCTCGAGAGTGCTCGAGAGATGAATTAGTGTTAGAAATTGTTAAAATTTTGCTCAAAAATTGCACGAGAGATCAAATATTGTTCAAGTATAGCTTGAAAGGTAAAAAAGGCTGTTAAAAATTGTACAAACATTGCTCGAGGGATAAAAAAAAGTTGTTAAAAATTGCTCGAAAGATAGAATATTGTTAGAAATTTATCGAGAGATAAAATATTGTTTCAAAATAGCTCAAGAGATAAAAAAAAAATTTAAAAACTGTTTAAGAGATAAAAGAGTATCAAAAGGTATTAAAATCTTATTCAAAAACTGGTCGAGAGATAAAATAGTAGGTTTGTTCCCGAAGCGAGTTCCAAACTTGTTACAAACATTATCTGATATGCATGCGTGAGCAGAATAATGTTCGGAATGAGTTCTAAATAAATGTGTGCTGGAACGTTAAAAAAAATAATGTTGCTGTTTTAACTAAATATAGATCATTCGATTATATTTTTTAAGAAAAGAAGATAATGAGGATGTACTTTATGATCAATTCAAAATCGCACAAACAAAAACTACCCTCCTTATTATATTTTTGCTGTTACAACGCTGTATAAGATTTTAATCAAAATTAAAGATAATAAGCACTCACAAAACTAACTTAAAATCCAATTAAAAACAAAGGAAGAAAAGAAGAAAAATTATTTTAAATAAGCACGCATGCGCGAAAGTAAAAGTTCGTATTTTATTTAGGAACTACTAAAACTAGTTACAAACACGTTATGAACAAGTTTTTAATCTTGCGGAAACGCCAAACAAGTTCAATTTGTTTGGAACTTAGCTCTGCTGGAACAGTTATTTTTTACTGCGCATACTCAATATGTTAGGAACTCGCTTCGGGAACAAACCTATTGTCAGAAATTTATCGAGAGGTTAAAAATTGTTGTGTTCGTGTTATCTATAAACCTTTTTTTGCTCTTTAATGACCATACTTCATAATTAGAAAAATCTGGTAATTTTATAGAATCTAGTACATTTTTATGAAATCTGGTACATTTTTTAGATAAATCTGGTACATTACAAAAATATATTCTGGCAACACTGATTTCATCCCTGAGAGAGACACATACAGTCAAGAGACTGCTTCCTTTTCTGTAAAACCATGACATCAGTAATTGTTTATTGCTATATTTTTGTTAATTTCATAGCAAAAAATATAAGGAAAGCACTATTACCTTGTCAATACACAGGCGAAACTTTTATGAAGAACATTTTTTTTTTCGTTTAGGACTTCGTTTTTCGTCAAATGAAAGGTATATTTCTAAAAGAAGATTTTTTAACCAAATTTGTCGACAGCCAAAATAAGTTTTAATCTACACCATACTTATATTGTAAAATACATAGGTAATATTATTTTGTGCTATTGTGGAATATTTTTCGGTTCCTTTGTCTTCAACTTCGCGCGTTAAAGTTTAGAATATGCATCCCTCGTATCTACATGCAATTGTTAAAATTACGAATGAATGCTGATTTTGTTTGGTCTCGGAAGTAATTTTGTAGTATTTAGGCTCCACCCTTAAGTTGTAATTTTTATACCTACTAAACTACCGTTGCCCCCCAGGTCTTTTAGTTTGTAATATAAATTTTCCTCTTAAATATTGTAATTTTATTTCAATGTTTTAAATGTATTGTTTGTAACGAATTATAGAATTATATGTAAGCTTGTTTTTACTCCTACATTTTTGTCTTGTTTGTAAATTTTATGTGACGTTTCCTATACCTATCTACAGAGATCTACAGAAATAAATAAATATTTTTTAACGCTCCTCGTATACGGCTCAAAAAGTTTAATATCTGATGGTTGTATTGTACGTTTTTTCTATAAAACTAATAAAAAGGTGATTGGAATTCACGAAAGTTTTGCATAATAACTTGTATATTAATAAAAAAAAACTTTTCTTCCCGATCTTATTATACTTCACTGATTTCTGTAATCGACTTTATATTGTGCCGCATTTTAAAACTTACTTTCGACAATAGTTGATATATTTCTTAATAAACTCAAGTGACATTTCTCCATCGTTAGACTCTTGAGAAACTTCACCTGCATTCATATGAATTCCCATAATGTGTTTGGCAAGGGTCTAAAAAATTAAGAAAGTTATAAGGAATCGCTGGCTAATAATCAAAAACTTACAATATCCCTTTGCTTATCATGTTCATCTTTAACAATAAAAATCATATCAAAACGTGATAAAATAGTTGGCAAAAAGTCAATGTTTTCATCACCCTAGAACAAAAAACAATTACATTATAGTGTAGAATTTCTTTTTTTATTATTATTTACCTTGGTGTCATCCCATCGACCGAAAATACTGTTAGCCGCAGCCAAAACTGAACATCTAGAATTCAAAGTAGTCGTTATACCAGCTTTGGCGATAGAAATAGTTTGCTGTTCCATGGCTTCATGAATTGCCACTCTATCATCTTCCCTCATTTTATCAAATTCATCAATGCACACAACTCCACCATCAGCCAATACCATAGCCCCACCTTCCATGACAAAATTACGCTAAAATTGTAAAAGATAAAAAGTAGCCCCTTTTTTTTAAATAAATTAAAATTACCGTAGCAGGATCTCTCATGACAGCAGCAGTCAATCCAGCAGCAGAACTTCCTTTTCCTGAAGTATAAACAGCAATTGGAGCAACTCTCTCGACAAATTTCAGTAACTGTGATTTAGCCGTACCAGGATCACCAAGCAATAAAATATTAATATCCCCCCTTCTGGTCAAACCATCGGGTAGTCTTTTTCTAGATCCACCGAAAAGTAGACAAGCTATAGCTTTTTTGATATCCGCTGCTCCGTAAATTGATGGAGCTATACTAGAAGCTATTCTTTCATAAATATTTGGAAGGCCTGCCAGCCTCCGGAAAGTGTTTTCTTCTTCAGATGATATGATACTCCAACTTGATGCTCCCAAGCCTTCTGTATCTTGTTGAATACCAACTACTCTCATGTACGCTGCTCTCACTCCCGTAATTGCTTTCTCTCTGCCTTCACGCTGTAATATAAATCAATATAATCTCCCAACATTTCATGGCAACATTGTCACGCTTTATTAAATTTACTAGCTATTGCCCGCGGCTTTGCTCGCGACTTTGATCGCATATAATCGTGTTATTAATTTTTATTCATTTTTATTCATTTATATTCATTTATATTCATTTATATTCATTTATATTCATTTTTATTCATTTTTATTCATTTTTATTCATTTTTATTCATTTTTATTCATTTTTATTCATTTTTATTAATTTTTATTCATTTTTATTCATTTTTATTCATTTTTATTCATTTTTATTCATTTTTATTCATTTTTATTCATGTTTATTCATGTTTATTCATTTTTATTCATTTTTATTCATTTTTATTCATTTTTATTCATTTTTATTCATTTTTATTCATTTTTATTCATTTTTATTCATTTTTATTCATTTTTATTCATTTTTATTCATTTTTATTCATTTTTATTCATTTTTATTCATTTTTATTCATTTTTATTCATTTTTATTCATTTTTATTCATTTTTATTCATTTTTATTCATTTTTATTCATTTTTATTCATTTTTATTCATTTTTATTCATTTTTATTCATTTTTATTCATTTTTATTCATTTTTATTCATTTTTATTCATTTTTATTCATTTTTATTCATTTTTATTCATTTTTATTCATTTTTATTCATTTTTATTCATTTTTATTCATTTTTATTCATTTTTATTCATTTATTCATATTTATTCATTTTTTTTATTTTTATTCATTTTTATTCATTTTTATTCATGTTTATTAATTTATTTTTATTAATTTATTTTTATTAATTTTTATTAATTTTTATTAATTTTTATTAATTTTTATTAATTTTTATTAATTTTTATTAATTTTTATTAATTTTTATTAATTTTTATTAATTTTTATTAATTTTTATTAATTTTTATTAATTTTTATTAATTTTTATCAATTTTTATTAATTTTTATTAATTTAATTTTTATTAATTTTTATTAATTTTTATTAATTAATTTTTATTAATTAATTTTTATTAATTTTTATTAATTTTTAATAATTTTATATTAATTTTTATTAATTTTTATTAATTTTTATCAATTTTTATTAATTTTTATTAATTTTTATTAATTTTTATTAATTTTTATTAATTTTTATTAATTTTTATTAATTTTTATTAATTAATTTTTATTAATTTTTATTAAGTTTTAATAATTTTTCTTAATTTTTATTAAATTTGATTTATTTTTATTAATTTTTAATAATTTTTCTTAATTTTTATTACTTTTTATTACTTTTTATTAATTTTTATTAGTTTTTGTTAATTTTTTAAAATTTTTAATAATTTTTAATAATTGTTATTAATTTTTAATAATTTTTTAAAATTTTTATTAATTTTCACCCCTGTTTTCCCCTTAAAATGTGAAAATCCAAAAACCATGAAACACTTCATTTATGATGAGAACCTACAATTCCAATTTTCAAGTTCCTACCTTTAAAAAATCAATATTTCCAAATAAACTTTGACCTCCCCGTTTCCCCCCCTTAAAATTTTCATGTTTCTAACTTCAAAGAGAACAAAAAAAGTTACACTCCCATACAAACTTTTACCCCCGTTTGCCCCCCTTAAGATGTAAAAATATAAAAACCCTAAAACATATTATTATTAATTTGTACACAGTAGCTGCAATTCTAATTTTCATGCTTTTAACTTTAAAGGGAACCAAAAACATGGATACTCCCAAATAAATTTTCACTCCCCATTTCCCCCCTTAAAATGTGAAAATCCAAAAATCCTTAAACACGTCATTAATAATTTGTAGTCAGTAGCTGGAATTCCAATTTTTATGTTTCTAACTTTATAAAGAACAAAAAAATCGTTAGTCCCTTAAAAACTTTCACCCCCCGTTTCCCCCCCTTAAAATGTAAAAAATCCAAAAACCCTGAAACACGTCATTATTATTTATTTATGCTCATTAGTTGTAATTTAAATTTTCATGTTTCTAACTTTAAAGAACAAAGAGTTTCATTAAAAGCTCTCTCCCCCATTTCCCCCCTTTAATGTTAAAATTTCCAAAAATCCTATTAGCGGATGCTTACGTTATAAAATTAACCTATGTTCCAAATTTCAGCTTTCTAGGCTCAGTAGTTTTGGCTGTACGCTGATAGGTCAGTCAGTCAGTTAGTCAGTCAGTCAGGACAAACAACTTTATATATACAGATATGTTCACATTAATACTAAAACAACACCCTTTACATAAATATTGTTTAAATTATTAGGGGATTTATTTTAAGTCAAGATCATGTACAAGATTGATTTATTAATAATTATTGAACATACGTAAAATAAATGTAAACTATTACCTGTAGGTATAACGTGACATTTTTATAAACAGCATGCATATCGTAACATGGTGGAGACGCGAGGCATTGAATTACCGAATTTTTTTAATGATTCCCGTGGTAATTTAATAATTATTAAACATTAATCGAATAACAGGGGGGCGCATAACGTTTTTCTCGACAGAGCAGGAGTCTAGGAGACATTCCTTGTAGGGGATTCCCAGTAGCGCCTCTAGATCACACCGGAGGCTCTGGATCTCGTTCATGTAAAAATTCCATTTTGATTATTGAATCCGGAATTGTGACAGATTTCAGGTCACAAGGATTGTGACTTGGACAATAAACGATCTACTTCTGCTCCTTAAGCATAATTTTAAGGGACAATCGTAGTTTATTAAAAATAGAGTAATAGTAAGGGGGTTAAGTGGCCAATTTACAATGATTTTTTTCATTCAAAATAGGTATTTTAGTCTAGTACAATAAAAGACGTTACTTAAAATCGACAATTAATAATTGCAAAAAATGCATTGACTATTACTATTATTATGTAGAAATCGAAGTACAAAAAAATGAAGGAACATTTTTAATTCCAAATATTCATATAGTCTATCAACCACATTTTTTTAAAATTGTAGGGATTTTGATCTTAAGAGTCAACACCAGACTTAAATTATTATAAAACAATGTTGTAGGAAAATCTGCAAAAGGAGAATACAATACTTCACTGTGTCCGTGAAGTATGGAATACATTATTTCCTAAACCAAAAATATTTTCGAAAAACCTGAAACACATCGATTTCCAATATCAGTTTTCTGTATTGTAAAAAAATTCATTATACAGGGTAATACTTGGTTGTTAATGTGTTTGATATGGTGTTATTTGTCTCCTGTTAAATCGTCGGGATTTATGGTAGTAAAACATAAAAGATAAATTTGAATTTGGTATCAATTAAAAGCTAAAGATCTTCACAATACAGATCCATTATTAAATTTGATTAAAAATTATTATATGTGTCTAAAAAGTGTATATTACCGAAAACTTTACAACTGGAACAAATTTGTGTCTTTGGCCAGCGAGGTCACCAGACCTAAATCCTATTGATTATTTTATGTGGGATAATCTGAAGAATGTTGTTTACAAAACGAAGCCAGAAATTATTGAAGAATTAAAAAAAGCGATATATTAGGCAAGAGTAGAACCATCAATCTTTAGTAGCAGAACATCTGCTGCATACTAAATTTTATTTCACCAGATAAAATAGCTAGATAGACCAATACTAGTCCAAAAATATTTTTTATTACAAAAATCTAAAAAGTGTTTACGGATAACAAACGTTTAAATTTGAAGTTTCAAGTAATGACGCTAAATAGGTTTAAAAATCTGATGTGTCCAACACATGACTTTCCTATCTAGTTAATATAGGCTTTTCCGGTTATTTTGTACAACCCATTGCAGCTCCTCTATAAATATTTAGAGGATAAACTAAATATATAATACATTTTCCACATACATCTACCTCGAAATATTTTTCTATAGATATTCATTGAAAACGAAAATACTAAAAAATTTAAATTTATCACTTTTCCTACAATTTTTCCATTACGGTCCATTTTAGAAAAATCATGTAAAAACAAAAATTATAGAGATCGATATCGCAAACAACTTTTATTTCAACAATTTTCATTAAAATCAGAATTTTCACATTTTGTCAAATTTCTCCAATACGGACCATTTCAGGAAATTTTGACATAAAACAAAAATTATAGATAATAATATTAGAAGTAACTTTTATTTGAACTATTTTTTCTCCAAACATAAATAACAGATATATTCCATAAAATATAAAAACGGCCTCCCATAAAGTACCCCCCCAGATGTTCCAACTTTGTCCAAAATCTAATCATTTCACGTCAGGCCGAAATAAAACTTAAGTTTAAAATTTAATGTTTTTTTCTTTATCCGTTTTTGAGTTTTCTTCAAATTTCGAAATTTACACATTTTCTCAAATATCTCGAATACGGTCCATTTTAGAGAAATTATGTAAAGGATAAAAATTATAGAGAATTATATTACAAACAACTTTTGAACAATTTTTATAAAAAAATATTTTTTTACATTTTGTCAAATTTCTCGAATACGGACTATTTTAGGAAAATTTTGTAAAGAACAAAAATTTTAGATAATAATATAAGAAGTAACTTTTATTTGAAGAATTTTCTTCCCCAAACGTAAATAACAGATATATTCCATAAAATATAAAAATGACCACCTATAAAGTACCCCCCAGATGTTCCGACTCTGCCCAAAATCTAATCAGCTCATTGGACGCTGAAAAAAAGCTTAAGTTTAAAATTTGGTGTTTTTCTGCGTATCGGTTCATGAGTTATGTGACACACAGACACACACACACAGACCCATACACAGACATCATCGCGAAAATAGTCAAAACGGATTCAGGGGACCTCAAAACGTAAAAATCCGTCGAAAACTCGAGGTCGAAAAAAATCATGATTCCTATACTTTCCTTATATCTGTATACAGATAGGAAAGTAAAAAAGGAGAAATAGAAGAAATTCTTTATAAAATAGATGAAAAAGCAAGATAGAAACAGTCCAAAAATCTTTTCTATTTCGAAAAATCTCAAAAACTGGTTGAATTACGGAAAACATTTTTTTTTGGCAATTTTTTTTTGAAGATCGGTAGAATGACGTGGAGGATTTTTTTTGTTACTAGCTCGGCGATATTACCTTTTTTTTTTTAAGTTTAGTAGAAGTCTAAAGACTTTTCGTATACCGAAGCCCCTGTCAGCATCTTATTCACTTTTCAAAAAGATGGCAACCCTAATTAGACCCTAAATATCATACTTTATCGGAGATTATATAAGAATAATTTAAAAATCTCACCAAATACGAAGTATTGTATTTAAAAAAAAATCAATTTTTCTATTTTTTAATTTTTTAATTTTTTAATTTTTTAATTTTTTTATTTATTTTTCTATTTTTCCATTTTTCCATTTTTCCATTTTTCCATTTTTCCATTTTTCCATTTTTCTATTTTTCTATTTTTCTATTTTTCTATTTTTCTATTTTTCTATTTTTCTATTTTTCTATTTTTCTATTTTTCTATTTTTCTATTTTTCTATTTTTCTATTTTTCTATTTTTCTATTTTTCTATTTTTCTATTTTTCTATTTTTCTATTTTTCTATTTTTCTATTTTTCTATTTTTCTATTTTTCTATTTTTCTATTTTTCTATTTTTCTATTTTTCTATTTTTCTATTTTTCTATTTTTCTATTTTTCTATTTTTCTATTTTTCTATTTTTCTATTTTTCTATTTTTCTATTTTTCTATTTTTCTATTTTTCTATTTTTCTATTTTTCTATTTTTCTATTTTTCTATTTTTCTATTTTTCTATTTTTCTATTTTTCTATTTTTCTATTTTTCTATTTTTCTATTTTTCTATTTTTCTATTTTTCTATTTTTCTATTTTTCTATTTTTCTATTTTTCTATTTTTCTATTTTTCTATTTTTCTATTTTTCTATTTTTCTATTTTTCTATTTTTCTATTTTTCTATTTTTCTATTTTTCTATTTTTCTATTTTTCTATTTTTCTATTTTTCTATTTTTCTATTTTTCTATTTTTCTATTTTTCTATTTTTCTATTTTTCTATTTTTCTATTTTTCTATTTTTCTATTTTTCTATTTTTCTATTTTTCTATTTTTCTATTTTTCTATTTTTCTATTTTTCTATTTTTCTATTTTTCTATTTTTCTATTTTTCTATTTTTCTATTTTTCTATTTTTCTATTTTTCTATTTTTCTATTTTTCTATTTTTCTATTTTTCTATTTTTCTATTTTTCTATTTTTCTATTTTTCTATTTTTCTATTTTTCTATTTTTCTATTTTTCTATTTTTCTATTTTTCTATTTTTCTATTTTTCTATTTTTCTATTTTTCTATTTTTCTATTTTTCTATTTTTCTATTTTTCTATTTTTCTATTTTTCTATTTTTCTATTTTTCTATTTTTCTATTTTTCTATTTTTCTATTTTTCTATTTTTCTATTTTTCTATTTTTCTATTTTTCTATTTTTCTATTTTTCTATTTTTCTATTTTTCTATTTTTCTATTTTTCTATTTTTCTATTTTTCTATTTTTCTATTTTTCTATTTTTCTATTTTTCTATTTTTCTATTTTTCTATTTTTCTATTTTTCTATTTTTCTATTTTTCTATTTTTCTATTTTTCTATTTTTCTATTTTTCTATTTTTCTATTTTTCTATTTTTCTATTTTTCTATTTTTCTATTTTTCTATTTTTCTATTTTTCTATTTTTCTATTTTTCTATTTTTCTATTTTTCTATTTTTCTATTTTTCTATTTTTCTATTTTTCTATTTTTCTATTTTTCTATTTTTCTATTTTTCTATTTTTCTATTTTTCTATTTTTCTATTTTTCTATTTTTCTATTTTTCTATTTTTCTATTTTTCTATTTTTCTATTTTTCTATTTTTCTATTTTTCTATTTTTCTATTTTTCTATTTTTCTATTTTTCTATTTTTCTATTTTTCTATTTTTCTATTTTTCTATTTTTCTATTTTTCTATTTTTCTATTTTTCTATTTTTCTATTTTTCTATTTTTCTATTTTTCTATTTTTCTATTTTTCTATTTTTCTATTTTTCTATTTTTCTATTTTTCTATTTTTCTATTTTTCTATTTTTCTATTTTTCTATTTTTCTATTTTTCTATTTTTCTATTTTTCTATTTTTCTATTTTTCTATTTTTCTATTTTTCTATTTTTCTATTTTTCTATTTTTCTATTTTTCTATTTTTCTATTTTTCTATTTTTCTATTTTTCTATTTTTCTATTTTTGTACAATGCAGAAAATTAAAATTATAAATCGACGTGTTTCAGGTTTTTTAAAAATGTTTTTAGTTTAGGAAATAATGAATTTATTCCATACTTTAAGAACACACTGTATATCACAATAAAAAATGAATATTTCAGATTTAAAAATTGAATTAAAAAAACTAGAAAATTGTTCAACTTACCTTTGAAGGTCTACTGACTTTTTTAACACAATAAATTCCCAAAATTTGAACTCTATTGCCAGGAACAACTCTTTCGCACAAATATCTATCTAAATACAAAGTAATGTGTCTAGGAATCTCTCCTTGTGGTATACTGTCAGGAAGCTCTTGCAATTTCAAAACTTGAAAATCTACACACTGGCATTTGTCTGGCATTATAAAGAATGGGTCCATTGGACACTTTGGTGTATTAGCTTGTTCCCTAATAAATACAATATTCTCAGAGGCAATAAAGTTTATCTAGCAAAAACTAACACACTTATATTGATTTGCCAGCAATGGATCCAAAACTGATCCAATTTAGCACAGTGATTTTACAGTATAATAAATTTTAGAAAAAAATGACAAAGTGTCTCAAATAACACATTTTTGTGTCTAAGGGTGTATACATGCCAAAGATGCCTCGATGACCGAAAGGCGATGGTTGCAAAACACAAAAAAAAGTTTTAAGTAAAAGGTATGTTGTTCTATCTGTACCGACTAAAAATGTAATAACAGGCTGAATTGTATATACAAGATGACTCCAACAAAATATAATTTAATTTTTTTAATGGGACACCCTATATATTTTTGTCATTTTAAGTAGATTTGCATTTCCTGATTACAAATATATATTTTAATTATTTAGTGACTTATTGCCCTATGCAAGTGTAACACATAGACGGCTATGAAAATGATGTTTCCATAGTTTCCAAGTGAAACAGTTGTTTGTTTATTAAAAGTTGTCAATTGATTACTTGTAATGGGTTATACTGTGGGCGAAAAAGTTGAGATAAAACAAAAAAGCTTTTACTTGAAACTTTTTTTGAGTTCACAAGAATTATGAAAATAAGTAGTGGTCAAAATATAATGAAAAACCCTGTACACTCACATTTAAATTAGTACATTCTTTATTATATCGTCCATTGGTCATCGTTCATCGCACATCGAGGCATCATGATACATAATGTAAAATCTAAAATCATAATTTACTGGCCGTGTGTTAACAATTATGTAATTTATTAGGTAAAAATAGTAGGTACATACGTGTTACATTTTCTAGGCAATAAATACCCTTCTAATCCTGCTTTTACTGACAAATTTGGTATGATATTGCTACAGGTTCGACACTGGATGGATATTTTAGTGGCTTTTGCTTTAATACCAGAAACACTTATGGCAATTCCTGGTATTTTCACTAAACGGGAAACAACATCGGACTAAAAATAATACATAAATATTCAGGACACATAACAATTTTAAAACATCTCTTCAACATGAAGTAAGCTTACCTTCAAAGACCTTAGATCAGAAGGATTGGCATCAGATGACAACATAATCTGAATATCTTCCATTTCTTCCTCACCTTCTGGTCTAGGTGCAGTTAATTCATTTGCTACATCTTTGGCCGCCTCTTCAAACAACATCAAATGTTCTGCTGGTTGTTTATATAACTTATCAGCCAAAGTTTCATCATAGCTTCCAACATCTTCAATATTTACTTCAAGATAGTACTGGCGTAAATTGTAGTTTCTTTTTAAATTGTCCCTATTTAAATTTAATTAGAAATTTATTTCTGCACTTTAAATTATCAGAAATTGAAAAAGTGAAAAATTAAAAACCTAATATTTCATTTAGAAAATTCAGTCAATATTGTCAGTATAGGCAAAGAATATTTGGTATAGGTACTGACACTGACAATACAATTTTTAATAGAATTCATAATTAAAAAGTATAGCCATATTCGAGCGATCGACTGATTTAAATATATTTCATGTGGTTTGAAAATAGTTTGAACTATTCCCATTCGGGCAACCAAACAATGACGTCACATTGAATTAGGTTTAAACCAGCTAAGTCTGTTTTTGAAACGTCTTCTCGAGAATGGTTCAAAGAAATAGCTCCCAGACAGCACACTAAATCCTTTGGATATCTACTGCACATCCCAATATCCACTGAATGTCCAGTCCATGGTGGATATCTATTTTATATCCATGATATGTAATTTATAGACATGCAAATGACCATAAATAATAGTAATTATACAGCAAATTATTAAAAAATTACGCCATTGTGCTCGCCATTGTGGCTAATAGTACCGTTCAGATATTTAAAATTAATTTTTTTAAGGTGTATTCAATATCCCATGGACATCCACTAAATATATCAAAGTCTAAGCGCGGACGCAAACCATCGTGGATATCCACTAGATGTTATTTGATTTTGCTTCCTAAGTATAGATGGCGATACCACTTTCGTATCTACTCATGCTCAACCCGCCGTAATTGAGTTCGATCGAATTTTTTTTGACAATCATACTTTATTAGAGACTGGAGTCGAGAATTACCATTTATTGCTGAAGAGTCCTAATAAGGATGGATGACTTTCTCCTTAGTGTTCTTAGTGGGCAAAATCAAAGGCAGATTGTTGGAAATATTTTTTATCTCTATTTTCTTTCGACCTTATTCAATAATCATTGGTTACTTATGAACATGAACCTCTACTAAAGAAACCTATAAAATATTTTGCTGAATATCTGAATTCTATATCCTGGGATATAGACGGACATTTGGTTGGATATCCATATCAAAGTATATTAACCATTGAGTAGCGACATCACAGTTTATAGCTATAAACTGTGGCGACATAAAGCGTCGGTACCTTTGATCTTTGGTGGTGCAAATTTTCTTTCTCTTTTTTGACGTTATTGACGGAAGGACACAGTAAAACCACAGCTTATACAATACAGCTAAAACACTCTCTTGGCGGCAACGGTTTGCGTCGATTTCGTCGCGCATCGCTTAAGCTCCGCCTTCGAAGGGAAAAGACAGTTTTGGCGTTCAGAAGCGTACTTAGGCAAGGTGTTGAGTCGTGCGTATAATTTCGTTGATTGTATAATTTCGTGGAGCCTATAATTTCGTTGATTTTGTTTGAGTTAAAGGTACTGTTATTATTTTGGTGACTCTTTAGCTGTGAGTAGAATGAGTTTGTGCAGTCAAAAGCTGTTTTAATAAGGGTTATACCTGCAAGAAAACATTCTTTAGTTTTCCCAAGGACCCAAACCGATAAGTACTACATTATAAGAAATTTTCATTGTTAAAAATATAATTTATACAGGGTGTCTCATTAGTGCGTTATTGTTCATTATTTTGTTGTAGACACGCAAGAAAGTTTTAAATAAAAGTTATATGGATTTGAAAAATACCTACATATTTTAAAAATATCTTTGGATATACAGGGTGTCACGTTTTTGCCTGGAAAATTAAAATGTATGTTTTTTAAATGGATCACCTTGTATTTTATTTTATGATGAAATTATTAACACCCTAAATTATTGTAAAGACGAATTGCTACAGAAAAATTTTATCAGGTATGTGTGTGGTTACCTTTTAATAAAAGCCTTGCGGATCCACTCCTGCGATACCTGTCTTAAATATAACAAAGATCACGTTGAATTAGACGATTTTTCTTTTTATTGCTTTTAAAAGGCATATGATAACGCCAATTCAGATACATTTGGAAATCTGCAACTGTCAAATGATGAATTTGTAGAACTAATATTCAATATTGAAAAGATATTTTAAAATAATTTTGAAGAATTGGCTACAAAAAATAACATTTGTATCACACTTTTAGAATTAATTAACCCAATACCCTTTAGTCATCCATGCTAACGTTTTCCAAAAGAATAACTTATTTTATTGTATGTTTAATCTCAATAACTAAAAAATATACTGACAATTAGTTTGACAGAATTGTCATTTATTTAAAATTTTAAAAATAATAGCAGTCGGTTGATCAAAATATGAACGGTGATTGGCGAATTTATTTTTTTTTGCAGTGTTCTCACTACCTAGAATGGATATGAAATATATTCGTTCAATTGAAGGCAATAGCATACTTTTTCGTTTTGTAATCTGTGCATGAATATTAGCCAATCTACGCACATACTACAAAACGAAAAATTATGTTATTGCGTTCAACTACGAATATAATTCATATCCATTTTAGGTAGTGAGAACACTTTAACAAAATTAAATCTACAAATCACAGTTCATATTTTGGTCACCCAACTCCTATTATTTAAAAATTTTTAAATAAGTGATAATTCTGTTAAACTAATTGTCAATATATATTTTAGTTATTGATATTAAATATACATTAAAATTTTTGTGTAGACTCGATAAATAATAGCATTTTTGTTTTTATTATGTCCACATTTAAAAAAAATAAATTTTAATCAAACTACATGATACTAATTTAATTACGAGTATTAAAACTAAAGTCCTGAAAGTTTCGGTGAAGATGAGGACAGAACATCTGCCTTCCATGCGAAAAGCCCGGGATCGAATCTAGGCCGAGGACTAATTAATTTTTCATGTTTATTTTATTTTATAAATTAGTCAACTTCGTAAATTATTTTAAAATTAGTTATTTTGTCTAAATAACCTAAAATAATTTTTTAAATTTGTAGATTTTCGTTAGTGGGTCGTAGAAAAAATATACTGACCATATCGAGTGGATTGTTCATATCACAATCAGACGATTGAGTACTCCGCCTACGACGTCGGGCTCAAACTTCGTTTTTGTGTGATATGGCTATCATATCCACCCTTGTTGAACAAACTACAATTTATTTGTTTTCTTGGTTTAAGTTTTACATCAGAAATAAGAACTAAATTAATTTACTTTTCAAGTTTTCTTGTAAAAATCGATATTACTTTCTCCAAGTACAAATTTAGTACCTACCTAAAATAAGTACTAATTATGTAATATCGTGTAATATTGTAATTCAAATTTCACATTACTATAAAGTTTCAAAATTCCCTACTTCGGTATGGTCAGATAAAAATTGAATATATTATATTAATAAAAACTGTTAAAGTATTACTTCTACAAATCTGTATTTCAATTAATAAGAATACATCTAAATATAACCAATATTGTTAAAATAAAAGCACAAATTCTTTACAATTCCAAAATACCATAGAGTTCCCAGACCTCAGTCGAAGCATTCGTTTATCTAGGTATAAACCCTTTGCGCGAAGAGTAACACTTGCCAGAGACACGGGGTACCACTTGATTTGCATCCACGAGCGTGACACATTTCTTTAACAATTGAAGCCCTTGGTGTAAAAAGGATCCAAGTCACAATTTGTCGTGAAGTGACTGTTTTAGCTCAAAACATTTGTTAACGAGGATTTTACTAGCCACATACAAATTATTTTACCTCTAATCCGAAAGATGTGCTATTTTTCGTAATATTTATATTTAAATAATTTTTTTAATTATATTTGACAGATTTAAAACAAATTAAAGATTTAATTTCCCAAAACTTACTTAACATGGCATGTAACCAACCTTATTACGTCAAGGTTTTCAATTTTTTCAATAATAAAAAAATTGCTTAATCCGGGCCCGACTTTTCCCTTTAATCTAACAGAGATAGCACCATTCCGTCTTGCTTGGTTCTCGACCGCCAGATCAAAGACGCCGACACGGAGTTGTGGAGCTGTATTGTATAAGCTGTGGTAAAACACTGCTCGAATTATGAACTGGTCTCGAATGTGACGTTTACACTGCTCGACGTAATTTGAAGTAAAACTCTTTTGTAGTTTACATTTATAATAAAGGTTTGGTCATTAGGCAGTTTTATATATATGAGTATTTAACTTATGTAGTAAATATAAAGATATATATAACTACTATTGATAAATTTCAATTTTTTTACCTACGTCCGGATGAGCTAGATACTTGAAAGTTGGTAGGTGTACAGGGTTTTGATTTTTGATAACAATAGAAATTATTACTTATGGGCCTTCTTATTTATTAATCGAATTGTCTCAAACTTTAAATTTCGCTTTGTTTAAACATGTCGCTGAATACGATTTTTGACTAATAATGCGCCCCGTTACTCAAAACTTTTAATTTACGTTTAAAGTGTTTGACAGAGGTATCTGATTTGACAAGTTATTCATACAACAATATGGAAGTCAGTGTCAAATCTGATGACAGGTATAAAACGAACCCTTTTCTAAACAAGAAACCCTCGAAAAAACCCATTTATAATAATTGTTATACCTGGTACATATGCTGTATATCCTGTAGATTTTATAGGAAATATCAAATTTTCACAAATAAGTTCCAATAAAAATAAGATTATTATTTGATAAATATCAAATATAGTGTGTAGTTCAAGGTACTTACCACTCATATTCTTCTGGCAATGAAAACAGTGATTTGTTAACCAGACCTTGTCAAGCAAGGTTGATAAGCACATGCATTTCCTGGCATAATGAAAAACCCACAAAACCCCAAAAAATCTTAACAAAAACACAATAAAAGATCACTAATAAATCCACAACAACAAATTCCTATATCAGCTGCCGGACTAAAGTGAAAGGGGTTGTTTACATCTTTAGATGACGTCTCGCCTCTCTATTTCGCGTCGGCGCACTAGAATTCGGTTCCCCAGCTGTCGCTACTCAACGGTTAATATACTTTGTCCATATTGGATGTCCACAAAATATATTCTGTGGATATCTCTG